CGGCTGGAGCGCCTCGCCGAGGCCGAGAAGTGAGCCCCCGGGCGCCCGGCCACAGGAGCCTCTCCCTCCCGGGAGCAGGACGACGGCCCTCACTCTGCGCCTCTCTCTTGTCCAGGTCCCAGCAGATCATGCAGGCGGAGGCCGACGCGGAGTCCGTGCGGGTGAGAGGCGCTGGCTCCTTGCAGCTTGGGGGCGACCCGGTTGGTGGCTTCCTGCTTGGACTGGGCCCTTTTTTTCTTTCTTTCTTTCTTTTTTCTTTGGTACTGAGGATCGAACTCAGGACCTTGCACTTCCGAGGCGGGCGCGGTGCGAAATCCCAGCCTGGACTAGGTTTCTTTGTGAGACAGGGTCTTGCTCTGTAGTTCAGGTTGACTTTGAACTCACTGTGTAGCCCAGGCTGACCTCGAACTCACAGCCGGTCCACCGGCCCCAGCCTCCCGAGTGCTGGGATCACAGACGTGTGCCACCGTGCCCGGCTCGGACTGGGGTTTCTTCATTCTCCCCAGCATTCCCGCAAGCACCCTATCCTCTCCTCAGATGCGCGGGGAAGCCGAGGCCTTCGCCATCGGGGCCAGAGCCCGCGCCGAGGCTGAGCAGATGGCCAAGAAGGCAGAAGCCTTCCAGCTGTACCAGGAGGCCGCGCAGCTGGACATGCTGCTGGAGAAACTGCCACAGGTCGGGCTGGTGCGGGCTGGGTCTCAGCCGTGGGGACACGAGGGCCTGTGAAGGACGGGTGAGGGAGGGTCAGCAGAACGAGGCCTGGCGCTCAGCTGCACCAACCTCTGCCAGGTGGCAGAGGAGATCAGCGGCCCGCTGACCTCGGCCAAGAAGATCACGCTGGTGTCCAGTGGGGGCGGAGCCGTGGGGGCAGCCAAGGTGACCGGGGAGGTGCTGGACATCCTGAGCCGCCTGCCCGACAGCGTGGAGAGACTCACGGGCGTCAGCATCGCCCAGGTGAGGGCTGGGGCGGTGCCCGGAGGCCTGGGTCACCGAGTTGCTTTCCGTGTACCCACAGATGGCTTCTATTTTAAATCAAACTAGCTTTAAAGCGTGTAGTTTACAAAAAAGGAAGCTACTATCCTGCATGGTGACACGTTTGTGATCCTAGCACTCGGGAGGCTGAGGTAGGAGGATCACTGTGAGTGCAGGGCCAACCTGGACTACATACTGTTCAGGGAAAGGGGCTGAGGTGGGCACCAGAGGGAAGCCTCTAGGACTTGCATGGTCGTGTGGGGGCTGGGAGGTTGGGCCTCCACCGCCCAGGTGTCACCTCTGCTTGTCTTTTGACAGGTTAACAACAAGCCTTTGAGGACAGCCTGAGCCCCACCTCACCAGAGCTGCCTCAGGGCTTGGTCGCCTGAGTAACCCTGCTGTTGCTCGCACCCCGTGACCCTGCAGCATGTTGTTTGAAAGCGGGGTCCCTCTCCTTGGTTGGGGGGCTGCTCCCTGCAGACTCCACTCTGCCTTGGCCCAGTCCCTGGTGCCGTGCTTGTGTGCTGATGCCACTCCGTCCTGACTCAAGACTGTCGCCCTGCCTTCTGATCCTTTCCTGACCAAGACGGAGCAGTCTGGAGGTTCCTGCCAAATAAACTGCTGTTCGTGAGTTCTGATACTTAAACATAATAAAACAACCAATTCAGAGAGAAAGCTCCAGTGTGGCCCTTACATCCAATGGGCTTTCTAGACTGCGAAAAAAACAAGTTTTCTGTACACTGTTCAGAGCTGTAGTGTTTATTTTTTTCCCCAAAAGTTGGCTGTGATCAGAAAAGTTGGCTAAGGTAGAAATAACGTTGATAATTGCACTCTTAGAATTAATTACTGAAATTCTACCTCTGTGACCATACCAAATACAGCCTCCCCTTGTCCAAGACAATAGCTCTGATTCCCTAGTACCAGGATCCACAGGTGCTCAAATCCCTCACAAAGTGGTGTAGTGCTTGCACATAACCTGCATGCACCCCCCCTTTAAATCACCTCAGCCAGGTACGGTGGTGCTGCCTGGAATCTCGGCACTGTGGGAGACTGTGAAGCAGGATTGCTGAATTCAAGGCCAGCCTGAACCGTATAACAAGACCCTGTATTTCCTTGAACCCAGGCCTTTTTTCGCACACTAACGGAGTGCTTTACCACTGAGCTCTCCATGCCCATTTCCATGTACTTTTGTAGAGCTTGGCTGGACGTGGAGGAATAAGGAACATTCTAGAGACCTGACAATACACTGGAAGCATGAAATTAAGGCAGCACGGTCCTTAGGTGGCATTTCCTATTGGCCCTTCCAGCCTCTGGGCAGAGCCCACAGGATCAGACACCCCAAGGCATCCCGGCTGGGCCACACCCCAGAAAACAGCCCAAGTGGCTCAGCCCTGAGCATTCAACATGAACCGCTGGAGGTGGTGTGAGCGGTGCACACGCGTGACCAACACTGAGGAAAGAGGGTCCCCGAGTCCAAGGCCAGGCGAACTGCCCAAGCTCCCACATGCAGCTAATCGCACTGACTGGGGGAGGACTCCACGGACCCTGCACCCAGGCAGGAGCCTATCCTGGTGACAGCTGGTCCTGAGGGTGGGCGACTGGGTGGAGGGTCTAAGGCATCGTGAGGCCGTTCAGCTTTGAGAACACAGCATTGACTCAACTCAGGCCCTGCCTGCTCCTACCATCTTCCCTCAATGAGCACACATTTTGCAACTGTTTTTGAATTCCCATTTATTTTTGGCTCTTGGGGCAATGTTGTCTTTTCAATATGAAAAAAAGCAAGTTCAACACAAAATAGAAATCTGAAGTGTAGGACAGGACGAAAATCAAGAGTGGGGGCAACAGCAAGAGATGAGATCTGCAAAAAAGAGGGTGTTTCCTTGCCCATCTGGGGTGTGATGCAAACACGGTGGCGGACACACGCTCACTCCACGGGGATGGGAAAGGAAGTCCGGAAGGCTCAGGGACAGCCGAGGGAAATGAAGGGAGAGAATACTGTTCGCCCCTCTTGAAGCTGAGATGGGCCTAAACGGTTGTGAAAGCCTGGATTCCCCCTTCCCAAAATGTCCCAGAATGGCAACACCCCATCCTTTCTCTCCTTCTGACCCCTACCCTCTGCCTTTCGCCCTTGGGCTCAGGGTGGTGGACATGACGTGGGTTTTTAGCACCTGGCTGGTTCTAAATGGGATCTGCAAGTAATTCAGCTTCTTGGAGAATTATTCTGAAAGCAGAAATATTAAATGGACAGGGAGAAGTGGATACCAGCAGAAAATACAGGGTCACCAAGAATGACAGATCCAGGATTGCCAGAGTAGAGAGAAAGAGGAGACATCCAACAAACAAGTATTTATTGAGTGCCTACTGTGTGCCAGGCACTGTTCTACACCCCTGAAAGAAGAAAAAAAAAAAGAGGCAGCAAACAAATTGTAAGGAAAGGGGCAGTGGAAGAAGGCAGAGGAGGTGAGGAGCCTGAGGTGAGGGGACTACGGCCTATGCCTCCTCTTCGGCATCCTCTCCGAAATCCTCTTCCTCTTCGGCCGTGGCGTCCTGGTACTGCTGGTACTCGGACACCAGGTCGTTCATGTTGCTCTCGGCCTCGGTGAACTCCATCTCGTCCATGCCCTCGCCCGTGTACCAGTGCAGGAAGGCCTTGCGCCGGAACATGGCCGTGAACTGCTCCGAGATGCGCTTGAACAGCTCCTGGATGGCCGTGCTGTTGCCGATGAAGGTGGCCGACATCTTCAGGCCGCGGGGCGGGATGTCGCACACGGCCGTCTTCACGTTGTTGGGGATCCACTCCACGAAGTAGCTGCTGTTCTTGTTCTGCACGTTGAGCATCTGCTCGTCCACCTCCTTCATGGACATGCGGCCCCGGAACACTGCAGCCACTGTCAGGTAGCGGCCGTGGCGCGGGTCGCAGGCGGCCATCATGTTTTTGGCATCGAAGACCTGCTGGGTGAGTTCCGGCACGGTGAGGGCCCGGTACTGCTGGCTGCCCCGGCTGGTGAGAGGCGCAAAGCCCGGCATGAAGAAGTGGAGGCGCGGGAAGGGCACCATGTTCACGGCCAGCTTGCGCAGGTCAGCATTGAGCTGGCCCGGGAAGCGCAGGCAGGTGGTCACCCCGCTCATGGTGGCCGACACCAGGTGGTTGAGGTCGCCGTAGGTGGGCGTGGTCAGCTTGAGGGTGCGGAAGCAGATGTCGTACAGGGCCTCGTTGTCGATGGAATAGGTCTCGTCCGTGTTCTCCACCAGCTGGTGCACGGACAGCGTGGCGTTGTAGGGCTCCACCACCGTGTCGGACACCTTGGGCGAGGGCACCACGCTGAAGGTGTTCATGATGCGGTCGGGGTACTCCTCGCGGATCTTGCTGATGAGCAGGGTGCCCATGCCCGAGCCCGTGCCGCCGCCCAGCGAGTGGGTCAGCTGGAAGCCCTGCAGGCAGTCGCAGCTCTCCGCCTCCTTGCGCACCACGTCCAGGACCGAGTCCACCAGCTCGGCGCCCTCTGTGTAGTGGCCCTTCGCCCAGTTGTTGCCTGCCCCAGACTGACCTGGACAGGATCAGGAGGAAAGCTCAGCGTGTAAGAGACTCCCTATTTCCACCCTTAACTCTGCCACCACAGGCCCGGACAGTGCCCATTCTCACCCGTGATACTGTCTGCCCAAAGGGGCAGGTACCGCCTCCTCACATTTCAGAACAGAGCCCCGCAAGTCTCTGGGCCAATAATCTCTTAACTTCCACCTCCTCCTCACCCCAAAGAAGCTGAATCCTGTTCTCCCCATCATACCAGTTTGTAGAACTCACCAAAAACAAAATTGTCTGGTCTGAAGATCTGGCCAAACGGGCCTGAGCGAACGGAGTCCATGGTCCCAGGTTCTAGATCCACCAAAATAGCTCGAGGAACATACTTGCCACCTACAGGAATCAAGCAGATAGATGAAAGCCGGCTGCGGAAAAGGCTAAGTAAATCGGGGTTGGGAGGAGCACGCCCCAACAGTACTCCCGCGCTCTGCCACCAGGTGGCAGCAGAGACGCCACGGGCCCCACCCACTCACGACCCCAAAGGCGAAGGATGGTGGATTCGCTTGCTCTCAAACTGGAAAACGGACCCCAAAAATGAATGCAACGGGACCTGGCACAAAAGCGGGAGAAGTGGGAACCAAGCGCGCCGGGCTCTTGCCCTTACCTGTGGCCTCGTTGTAGTACACGGAGATGCGGTCCAGCTGCAGGTCACTGTCCCCGTGGTAGGTGCCGGTGGGGTCGATGCCGTGCTCATCGCTGATCACCTCCCAGAACTGCGGGGACAGCGCAGTGAGCCCCCAGCGGGCAACCACACCTCCCCCGGCCCGTCTCCATCGGCGTCACGGGCCACA